TTGAGGGCTTAGGGTTTTGGGTTTGGGGTTCAGGGCTTACGGTTTAGGGTTTAGGATCTAGGGTCTAGGGTTTAGGGTGACATCAATACGCGGGGCTTACATTATCTGCATGGGGGTTATACAGTTTTGAGTTAATGGTTTCGGCTCTAGGGCGGAATGGAAAAGAACATGGTAACTACTATATCATTTAGGTGGAACCCCACAATGTAATAATGACTATCAGGGATACGAGGGATTGCATCAGGGTCCTCTTGTATTCCATCATACGATGATCACAGGGTGAGGGGTCCTCCTACTCTATCATTATGAGTCCCTAAACCCTAAACCCTCGATTTTGAGTTTAGGGCCCAGTCTACTCATGCCTTAGACTAGATGAAGGACATGCTGATTGGCCTGGACCAGCAGCAGCTAGATATGTAAAGGGGCAAGGTAGGTGAGCTTTTTGTTTTCCGGAATGGCTCGGTAAGCTGGCTGTTGGGGGTACATTTTAGGATGACGTTAGCCAAATTTGGTGCCCGGGCTCTGCAAAAAAGGGGTTCTTAGTTGGGAGCCTTCCTGGAGACTTTGGTAGGAAACATGGGGCCTGAGTGAGTTTGGCCAAGCAAAAAGATTTCTATCAACCACTGGCTACAAATTATTGCTACACCCCAAGCTTGAGACTTGCTTGCCAAAGGTGCCCGCCTGTCACCCGGACGTACTTGATGCACGATCCTGACCAGCCACTTGAGACTGCAGTTCTCTTCGAGCCCTGAGCGGGGAAAAGGGGGCGACTTCCGTTGTCGCCATTTAGGCTTTGAAGGCTATCAAAAGGCTTATAGTCCCCCTTAAGTAGATAGAATATGGCTTTGGGTATATTATAATAAGATCCCCATATACCCGATATTCTATCTACTTAAGGGGGACTATAGGGTGATGGGTTAAATCGAGGTTCGAATGACTGCTGGTGGTGGTTGTGTTTAGAGGCCGACCTGCGGAATAATACTTTGGGGCCAGTGCTGGGATCTTTCGCGCACCCAGCTGACCTTGACCCCGCAAGCCCCACTATCATAGGGCCCTTGAAAGGAGTAACATAAACGTGTTTGTATGTATAGATCGGAAACGAAAGTCGAAATCCGCTTTGAAATTCACGCCTTGTATGTTTGCTGCGCACGAGGGCTTTCGCAAACCAAGGCTTGTTTTACGTGGTCCCACGGATACTGTGCTGTTTCAATGTGCGCAGTGCAAACGTTGATATTTCTTACCGCATGAACGCTGATCTGAAGGCTAAGGGGTTGGAACCATCACCTCTCCGGCATTATCGCACCTTCCGACCGCGGTGAGGAGTGAGTGCTTCAACCTTCATCGCTGCCCATGCCGTTCTTGCAGCTAGAACCAGGCAGACGGCTGGAAGGCCACTGCAGCATGAATGCTGCTCCAGAGCTTTACGCTTTGAGGTCTGCCTTACCGAGCTTTAGCACACACACGAAGTGCACTAAATCGGGCCAATCATTTTGAATGGCGCTCGCTGCACTCCAAATGTGGGAAAGGTCACAAGGCTTCCCCTTTCCGCCACGAACAATTCAAAACTGAGGACGGACCCAACGAGTACCTGCGTACTCCAGTGGTAAACAGCTCTCAGGTGTAGTGCACCTTCTGGTCCACGCTCGCCCATCTTGTTGGCGATGTCCTTCAAGGCGACCTCGCCGCCGTGCAAGTAGCGCTGAACCGCTGAGGAGCTCCAGCGTCCGGTCCTCTTGACCACCTCTATCTCCCCACTGGGCTGGAACAAAGCCGACGCGCCACCGACGCGCAAGGAGCGGGACATGAACCGCCCCTGGGGAAGGCCACACGCCACAGCCGCCTTCTGCAGGATGTTCTGAACCTGGGCCTGCCCATTCGACCATCGGAACAGCGGTCTGAGTGCTTCTGAACCATGCCCGAACCGCTGAGGAGCCAACTGGCGGAACTTCAACGAAGCCCACAGGTCCTTGACGCTGGACAGGTACATGGTCTTGCACGCTCCAAAGGCTTCCTAGTCTGTCTTGGTCTTCCGAAACTGCAAGGTCACTCCAATGATCTGGTCATTGCCCTCGCCTATCGTCACGAACTTCAGGTCCACGCCACGAAGGATCATCGCAAAATCGATCCCGTTGGAGTCGCAATACTCCTTGGCCCTGAGCATGAAGAACCACGCCACGTTCAGAGCGCACCACAACATCACCCCATCAAAGAAGTCGTTACCACTCTGATCTCTTTCGGGGCGAAGGTGGCGCCCAATCCGCTTGAGCTTCTCGGGGGTCACACCCAAACGACGAAGCTTCTTGATGGAGGGCATTGTCCAAGCCGTTGATGAGCATCCACAGCCTATACATTCGTTCAGTTGGATCGCCATGGCTAAACCTTTTGTGGGCGTCCTTAACGGCAAAGACTGCCTGCTTCAAAGTCGCCACTGTGCAGCCCAACCAGCCGAGGTAACCCAAGAAGCCCAGGAGCTTGTCTTCATTGGCTTCCACCGCCATCGCCTTGTCCAGGAAGTCAAAGGGCCATCCTTGTCGTGCTGCCCACGCTCGCCACTTGCCGTAGATGCCCGCGTACTGCTTCGTGGTGCTTGCGGCGTGGTAGCCCGTCATATTCTCATCGATCCAATCCTCCACAAGGTGGCCAACCTCTCCATCGAAACTGGGGATGTCCGTCATGGGGATGTCGATCGCCGCCTCGCCGACCGCCTTCGAAGCCGCTCCGTGTTGTAGAGCTCGTCCTCCTGCTCGTCCATCGCCGATTGTCTCGTCGCTCTCCTCCGAGTCAGAGTCATCTAACCACAGGGATTCGCCCCATCGCCAAACCACTCGCGCGCTAACGTCCTGCTCATGTCTCAACTGAGTCGTGTCCGCCTGCGCCTCTGCCTGGCTCAGCACGAGGAAGGAGGCCGCGTTTCCATCGAAGGAGCCAACGTAACAACTTGGTCGTGTTGTCGTCCCCAAGACTATCGAACCCGCCCCCTGCTCTTTTGCTCAGCACGAGTGCCCAAGTAACCGGCCCCGACACATGGTCCGCGCCCGCCCGCGCTGTGCTGTCCCGGCCAACTGGGCTGACAAAAGTCGTGTCGACAGCCGCCTGCCATAGGGCCATTCGCCAGCACCTCGATGCGGCGGGAGTACGCCAGTGGCACGTCGACATTCATGTCGCGAAGAAGACATTGGTGGCTACCCGCGCGCTGCCTTCACGGCAGATCACCCAAAGCATCCAAGGACCCGCCACCGCGACAACGCCTGGGCGTATGGGGCAGCGGGAGGCGCAACCGCCTGAGCAACAGGACACGCATGCAGTCCGAGGGCATGCGGAACTCCGGCGCGGCGGGAGCCGCCAGGGCAGCGCGCGCGAAGCCTGGTCAAGGTCAGAAATGAGGCTTTCGCACGCTACGGCGTCCAGACAAGAAAGAGGGTCACCAAAGCTGCGAGCCGGGGGGCTGTTGTCCAGCAGTGCAGGCCAACACGGCGCGTCAAACCCCGCCTGTCTCCAACAAGATTCCGCGCGCAGTGCCGCGGAAACACCCGGCACAATGCAACCAGTCCGTGACTCCGACCGGAGGGCTTCAGCCTGGCGAAGTAACACGGCCGCGCAGGCCCAGACCGCCTGGCTGCAGCGGCAACTGAGCCCGGCGAGCGGCATTGGCATCCCACGTCGGCGGCCCGCCATCGGCTAACAAACCCTGCAAGCATGTGAGGACCGCTTCATCGTGCTGACGGGCAAGCGTTGCAGTGTAGGCTGGCGGGAGAGCACGGAGTAGGTAGTGACAGCGGGGAGCCGCGCACATGACGAGCAACAGCCACGCAACCTGCAAGTCTGGGACAGAGGGGAGTTTGGACAACAAAGTCTTGTGGGCTGCCAATTTGGATTGTAGGCGGGCCGCCACAAGCATGACCCACCCATGCAGGCGGGCGGTCCGGATCAGCAGGGACCTTTCTCGTATGGCCCAGGTGCACATCGATGTCGGCGTGTGCGGCCAGCGCCTCGCGCAGTGCCCTGAATTTGGGGGCATGTGGGGGCAGCACGTTCTGCGGGGCAAGATGTACGTGTCATCCAAAATGCAAACAGATTCTCGCCTGGTTGAAGGGAGGAGTGTGCGGCCCGCAACGCTTGGTGGATGCCAACAGCGAATAACGGGCATGGGCCGGTCCCCCTGTTCGCCGCCCCCTGACAACGGAACGGAGTGCGCAGCGCTTGACGCGTCATAAAACAAGTACTCGCTGTCGCCGCCGTAGAGAAAGCAGACCAGAGGGATGAGGGGTCAACGCTGGGGATGCAAGGAGGCCATCAAACATGCACTTGCTCTTGTCATTTGCGCCGCGCGTTCTTTCGCCGCCAGCCTCCTGTTCTTCCCCTTCGCTGGCACTGCCAACGTCGAAGAAGATTCGCCCCTGCTCAGCGATCTTTTTGAAGACTCCACTGCTTTACCGCCATTTGCCAGCCGCATGCCTTAGCCGCGAAAGCCTGCCTAGAGCCCGTGGCCTGGACTTCGCTCTGCGCTGGGACCGCTTTGCTTGGCTGGAAAAAAGTCCGAAAAAGACATTGGTCCGCCGCCGGAGATGGAGTTGTAATTTCAACTTGCGAGTATTGCAATGTCACTTGCCGTTTTGACCGTTTGCCTGCGCCCCAGAGGGGCTGCTTATCGGCGTGCAGGTCTCACTCACTCACTCACTCCCACTCCGCCGCCGCAGATGGATTGGAATCTGCCCTGGCATGAAATCCGTCATGCTTGGACTCAAAGCGTGGCAACATCAGTGAACATTTTTAAATGCAGCCCTGGTCCATTCATTCATCAGAACGCGCCTGGACGTTGGCAGCCTCTTTGCCAGATGATCGGTTGGTGAGACATGTCGTACATTGCAGCCTCGTGGGGCGCAGACGACAAGTTCGTGCAATACAATGATGGGATGCCAAGTTGATTTTTTGAGTTGATTTTGTTGTGTTGATGGTTTGGTCATGCTGACTGGGGTTGACCCACCACCTCACCAAAGTGGCAGCCAAAGTGGCCCCAGCAATGGCCATCATTCCTCCAATTTCCTCCGTTGCTAGCGAACGTAGTTTGCGATTTGACCTGCGTCTCGAAAGAGCTGTCTATTGGCATGCGCGATGACTCCCTGACTCTCTATACCCAAACTGATTGACACTTGGTCAGTCAATTGGCATGCCAATTCATAGTAGCCGGTAACCCAGGGCGGACGGCGAACAATTGTTCGGAAAATGTCCGTGGAAAAAAACAATCATAGGCACCCGCTGATAGGCGCAGGCGCAAAGCAACACTTACATTTAACATACACGAGCCCGTGCCTGCAGGGCACCACGCGCAGTCCGGCGAGCAGCGACGCCGGGATGAGCAGGCAGATGTTGGGGCCTGTTGTCAATCGCCGTGCAACAGGCAGTGGCGGGGACGGCGCTTGGCTGCACATGGCCAAGTGCCTCGCTCACCAGCACGGCAGATGCCTGGCCGCTGGAGAGCGTGCTCGACTGCGGGGGTGCCGAGTCCGGCGGCTAACTGCTGCTCGGGGCATACGAACCCATAAAATGACCGATTCGGGACCATCGTCATGCAGGCATAAAGGTCCAAGAGAAAAATTAACATCGATCGTGTGGGCGCCTTGTTCAAGGGCATCACATGCGCGTCGCCACTGTTGGATCTGCTGGGCATTTGCCACGCAGTGCCCCCCAATGGCCTCGAGTTGTGTGCGCCAAGTATTTCGGGGTCTGCAAACCAAAGCGCGCGGCCCAAGTT